TTTTTATATAATATTAGATTTGATCGAAAAAAAAAAAGGGTAGAATAAATAGAAAAAATAATAAAAAAATAGAAAAAAATAGAAAAAAATAGAAAAGATAGATAAATCAAATCCAAAAAATGTATATTAATAATTTTGGTAAAGTTTAATATTATTTCAATATTATTTATAATAAAAAAAATAAAAAAAAAAATAAAAAAAAAAAATAAAAAAATTTTGAATTTTTTTTATTTTTTTTTTAAATTTTTTTCGTTTTTCATTTCTTTTTTTTTTTTTTCATTCACAACAATCATAATTGCTTATTCATCTATTTCTTTTTTTATTTTATATTTTAAATTAAATTAAAGTATCTTGTGCACAGGTATATGCAATAAGATTAAATAAAGAGGAAAGTTTGGAAAATGATGAACACTTTAGGTAAATTTCAAAATCATATATGCCATCAACCCAATTATAAATAATGGAAAAAAAAAAAAAAAATAATAGTTTATAATAAAACAATAAAATAATAATAGATAATAATAATATAAATGTATTTTATATTTTATTAAAATGAAAATATATACTAATTAATAATATTTTCATTACAGTCAGAAATTGTAATAAATTAAATATTATCCAAAATGAAATTAGAGTCATTTCAATTAGAGGATATTCAAGTGATGCACAAGCAGAACTTCAAAAACAAAGAGAAGAAGCTAGATTAGATAGAATTAAAAAATCAAAAGAGAATGCAAAAAAAGTTGATACTAGAAATAATACAGAGAAAATTTTAGAAAAATTTGATATACCAAGAATTATTGATCTCAGCGATCCAGTCTATCGTTCTCATCAAAAAAATATGAAAGAAGCACAAAAGAGAATCAATAAAAGAGATGAAAGTTTACCAAAATTAGATTCACCACATGCAGGTGTATTTAAATATACATCAGCTGTTATCATTGAAAGATTCCCATCACTCAATCCATTACCAACTGAATACGAAGAACAATACTATCAATCAGTTCAACGTCTCGAAGAAATTATTCGTAGACCACCAATTCGTATGTTATCAATTGTTGAAGATCTCCCAGAATTCAAAATTGAAGTTAAAGAAAAAAAAGAAGGTGAAGAAGATGCTGCTGATGAATTTGAAGAAGATTTTTCAAACTATCAACCAGAAAGCAGATTAACTGAAGACGACATCAAAGATAACAGACAATCATTAGATAGAAAATTAGATAAATCTTTATACCTCATTATTAAAAAAGCTGGTTCAAGATACGAATGGCAATTCCCAGCCACCAATTGGATTAAAGGTGAATCAATTAAAAATGTATGTAATAATTATCAAAAAAAAAAAAATTTTAATATTATTCAATTTATTCAATTTTAACATAATTTTTTTTTTTAATAATTTTTTTTAATAGACCGCCGAAAGAGCATTAAGAGACAGCGTTGGTTCAAAATGGAAATATTGGATTCCATCACAATCCCCATGTGGTGTTTATAAATATAGAGTCGAAAATGATGTCCAAGATTTAATTAAAGCCGAAGGTATCAAGGAATTTTTCTTTAGAGCCCATTACTTTGGTGGAGAATTACAATTTAATCCAAAAATAGTTGAAGACTATAAATGGGTTTCAAAAGAAGAATTAAAAGAATATTTTACTGGTGACTATTATAATGAAACTCATAAATTAATTTTTGATGATTGTTTTATGCTCATATTAACGAATAAAAAAATAAATGGTAATAATAATTTTATAAAAAATAAAAAATTTAAATAAAAATATAAACAATATTTAAAACAAAAAAAAAAAAAAAAAAATCGAAAAAAATTAAACGAAAATATTTTATTGTTTTTTATTTTATTTTTTATGAAAACATTTTATAGTTTTTTTTTAAAATAATTTTTTATCTTATCGATAAAAAAAAAAAAAAAACCAGTTTTTTTTTTGCCCACTACATGTAGCTCACAAAACCATTCACACCAAACACTCACTACATTCACACACCAAAACACTTCACCATCATCACACACAAAACCACTTCACCTTTTTCACATAATGTGAAATTTTTATTTTTTTTATTTTTTTTATTTTTTTATTTTTTTTTTCACACAAAAAAAAATTTACACAACAAAAAAAAAAAAAAATTGTTAATTATATTTATTTATATATCCATTTATAATAACTGATAATCATGATAATCATGATGATATTAACATTCAACAAACAAATAAACAAATAAAAATAAATAATTAAATGCAAAGATGCGAAATAGAACAACTCTCTAAAAAATAGCAACTTGTATATCAAATAAAGTTACTATCATAACAAATAATAATAATAATAATAATAATAAAAATAATAAAAATAAAAATAAAAATAAAAGTAATGATAACAATTAGTTTAATAATATTATATAAAAGGTATAACACACAACACACACAAAATATTAATTATAAATTTTACCATTAATAATTATTTTAATATTAAATATTATTATAATTATTAAAAATTATTTTTTCACCCACTTACACACTATTATTTATTTTTTAATTTTTATTTAAAAACACTAAAAAGGTTATATATTTATTTTTTGCTTTTTTTAATATTTATTTATTTTTATTTATATATTTTTTTTATTAAATTTTTTTGTTCAAATATTTGTTATAATTATGTTTTATAATTAACTTATTATTATAGTTATAATAGTAAAAGGTAAAAAATAGTAAATGGGTTAAACCATAGAGTTGTTTCAATCACAGTTTTATTAAATACACATTTATAAACATTTATAATAAATACAATTTTGTTTGCACATATAATAAAATATATTAAATCAGTGGTAAATAGTAAATCAGTTTTTTTACAAAAAAAATCAAAAGTTGTGTTTGTTTAGTAATATGTAATTTTATATATCCCACACCTTTTTTTTTTTACAGAAAATTACAATGAATAATCATTTTTGTTTAGGAAATATCTAAAAATAAAAAAAAAAATAAAAAATTCAAAAAAAAAAGTCAAATCAGCATTATGATATTTATAAACTTTTACAATAATTAAGATTGTTACAATAAATAAATAAATAAAATAAAATTTTATTTTTATTTTATTATTATTTATTTTATTATTTATTATTATTTTTTTTTTTTTTTATAAATTTTTTTAATTATACCCCTATTTCACTTTTTTTTTTTTTTTTTTTTTTTTTTTTTTTTTTAATTTTAAATAATTTTTCATAGATAAATTAACATAGTATGTAATAAACTAAAATTTGTTGTTTCACAGTATCTTTTAAAAGTATCCAATATATATATTTAGAAAAACGTTTGTGAATAGGACATCGAGAAAATTATTCATATGACACTTTTCATTCAATTCACCAAATAGTAACAAATTAAAATAATTAAAATTTAATAGTTTTTTTTTAAAATAATTTAATTTTATTTTATTTAAATTATCTAAACCTTTTTTTTAAAATTAAAAAATAAAAAAAAAATTAAAAAAAAATAAAAAAATAAAAAAATAAAAAATAATAAAAAAAAAAAAATAGTCGCACGCACCTGCACCCCTAAAACACCAACACTTTTTTTGATTTTTTTTCATTCCCTATTTTTAAAATATTTTTAGTTGTTTATTTGTTTTTTTTTTTATATAGCCAATAGAATTTTTAAAACATATACAATGTATAAAATAATAACAACTATAATAATATAAACTAATAAATATCAAATAATTAATTAATTAATTTTTTTTTTTTTTTAAATATAGTTTAAATATAAAAAATTAAAGATTTTTTATTATTATCTTTTCAAATATTTTAAAGAGAAAAAGAAATAGTAATTCAAAACTATTCTTTTATTATAGGAAATGGTAAGCAGTAATCCAATTGAAGAAGATGTTGGTTTATTTTTAGTTCAATGCTTATTAATTATAATTATATCAAGAATTGTAACATGGCTATTCGCAAAGATTCAACAACCACCAGTAATAGCAGAGATTATTAGTGGTATTTTATTAGGTCCGACAGCACTTGGAAAAATACCACATTTTACAGAGCATATATTTCCACCAAACTCAATTAAAATATTAAATGTTTTTGCACAAATTGGTTTAATATTTTTCATGTTCATTATTGGTTTAGAGTTAGATCCAACATTATTTAAAGGCCAAATCAAGAAATCACTTTTAATTTCAGCAGCATCTATTATGGTACCATTTGGGTTGGGTATTGCAGCATCTATTTACTTGGCACATATTCAAGATACTGCATGGACATATTCATTAGGTATTTTTATTGGTGTAGCTTTATGTATTACAGCTTTTCCAGTTTTAGCTCGTATTTTGACCTCAAAGAAATTATTACACACACAAATTGGTATTTTAGCTATCGCATGTGCAGCAATTAATGATATTTGTGGTTGGATTCTTTTAGGTTTATCTGTATCTCTAGCTGGTAGTAATGATTCATTGGGCACTGTTTGGACTTTACTTGCATCAGTAGTTTTTGTGGCCATTATGTTAGTAGTTATAAGACCTCTTTTAAATCGTTTTGTTCCAATGTTCTGGCGTGTAGATCCACATGGCCATCCACCATCACCATCAAATATTATAATGAGTGGTGCTATCCTCCTTTTATTCATTTGTTCATTTGCAACTGAATGGATTGGTATTCATGCTATGTTTGGTGCTTTTACTTTGGGTGCCATCACACCAAAGGTTGGTGGTTTCAATCAAGCAATCACAGAAAAAATAGAGGAGTTGGTTCTTGTTTTCCTCTTGCCATTGTATTTTGTTATATCTGGTTTAAGAACCGATTTAACTACTTTAAACACTGGAGAAACTTGGTTAGGTGTATTGGTAATCATCAGTTGTGCATGTATTGGTAAAATTTTTGGTGCTGGTATTATGGCTAGAATTCTCGGTTCAAGTACTCGTGACTCATTCTATATTGGCATCCTTATGAACACTAGAGGTCTTGTAGAGTTAATCGTATTAAATTTAGGTTTAGATTTTGGTATTATTCATACCAACGTTTTTGGTATCATGGTTTTAATGGCTGTTTTCACAACAATTTTAACAAGCCCAGTCATATCATTATTCAACGAAAAGCCAAAGAAAAATCTTAGTGGCGAGCAAACTGTTGTTCTTTGTACCTCTACATTGGATATTGGTCCATCATTAATAGATTTAGGTTATGCTATTGGTAATAAGGTTCAGGCTACAGGTTTCACCAGAAGAAAGTTAAAGAAAATTTATTTACTTGCTTTAGCCGAAGTTAACGATAGACCATCCGATTTCATTTCTCAAATTCGTAAAGACATGTCAAAGAATGCATTCAGTCATCTTATTCAGCAAGGTACTTTTATGAAAATGAAGGTTTCAATTAAATCAATTGTATCAGATAATGATCATCTTTCTAAAGATGTTTTACAGTTCTCTGAAAGCAAGGGTGCTGGTTTAATAATTATTGGTGAAGATAGTAAAGCATTTGGTCATGGTCGTGGTGGTACACTATCAAGTGATGTAGTTAATAGTTTAATTAAAAACTCAACTTCGCATGTTGGTGTATTCACAGATAAATCTGGTATGAGAGGTAGCTATCAACGTTTCAAGAGAATCCTTTTAGTATATAATGGTGAAAGAAATCCAAATGATCAGGAGGCTTTAAATATTGCAAATACTATAGCTAGTACTGAAGGTTCAACAGTTACCATTTTGGTATTCGATAATGAATTATATTGGAATCATAAAAAGAAAGCAGATAGTTTAGTTAATGGTAATGATAAGAAGTTATTAATTCACAGCCAACCAAACGAGGCAGACAAGTCAAATATAAAAAATAATGGTGATGGCATTAGTCCAGTTGGTGCAAATGTTGTTGATAATACCTTAGTCCATAGACATCACTTAAGTGCTGATCATAATACATTAGCTCAAAGCGAATTCACACCAAACAATCATTTCGATATCAATAATATACATTCTATTAATCCAAATAGTAATGTTAATAGTGTTTTAAATACACCAATGGATAATATTAATAATAATAATATACCAACACCAGATTCAATAGGTGCTGGTGGTAATGAATCAATGGGTTCAAGCGGTATCCTCAATAATAATAATAATAATAATAATACAGAAGAAGCATTTAAAAAATTTTCAACTCATCTAGATTCAGTTATTTATGGAAAAAATCAATCATCGATTAATGTAATCTATAAACCACAAAAATCAAGATTAAAGGTTCTTTTAGAAGAATGCCCAAATTATGATCTTTTAATTGTACCATACGAACAAGTTAAAGTTCAATTAACTTCTTTCCCTTCGTTCCATGTACCCGGTATAGATATTATGAAAAAATCATTGTCTATGGTTCATCTACCAGGCTATAAAAAACAAACTTCACCAATGGTTGAAAGAGACTTTGAACACGTTGAAGAGTTTGATGACCATCCAAATATCAAACAGTCAATGTCTTCTGATATGTCTCGTTTACGTTCAATTAGCAAAGGTTCAACTTCTTCACTTCAACATAATCATCATATGACAAGCAGTGGTGTTGTTGGAAGTTCACCTAATCCATTAAAGAGGGCCTCAGAATTTGATAGTGCTAATGAGGTAGAAATGGATAATCTTAACAATAGCGATGGTGGATCTGATCACACAAATGACACAGAACCATATTGGTCCAAGTGTCCAATTTCAAGTTTAGTAATTTACCACAAGGATACAATTCCAACCATTATTAATCAAATAAACAACAATAATAATAACAATGAAAAAAATAGTAAAGGTAGTGATGATGGTTCTCCACAAATTATTGATGATCATCTAGATCCTTATGAAGTTGACCCATCAGAACTAAAAGTTTCTCAAACAATCCAAAATGTATAAAAATAAAAAAAAAAATAAAAAATTATTTATTTCAAAAATATTAATACTGTAATTATAATTATAATCATATTTTTTTTGTGATTTGGATATTAACAAAAAAAAAAGAAAAATTTGGATTTACAAAAAAAAAAATCATTATTATAATTTTCAAGTGGGGGTTTTTAATGATACACTTGTCCAATTTACAAATTGCCCAAAAAATAACCCCATTTAATTTTTTTTTATTAATTTAAAAATTTTTTTTTTATCAGCCACCAATTTCTTTTTTATTTAATAGCTTTCAACAAATTTTTTTTTATTTTTTTTTATTTTTCAAATATTAAAACAAAATTCAAATAATTATAAATGGAGTCAGCTTCAATTAAAAACATGAATGATTTCTTAGAGTACAACCAAAAACATAAAGTAGTTGTCAAAAGAAATAATTCTATTAACTCTGAAAATAGAGTATTTTTCAACTTTAAAAGAGATCTTGGTACTTGGTTAGGTGGTTTGGTTGGCTCCATCCCATTTGTTGTAAGTTTTTTATAAAATAAAAATTAATTAAAAATAAATAAATTAAAATATTAATTAATATTATAATATTTTTTTATAAAAAAGGGTGCAATGGCTGCTGTAAGTATTTTTTTTAAAATAAATTATTTTATACATATTTTAATATATTTTTATTTTATAGGCATGGTTTAATATTGGTTATACTCACTTTTTTATGGGTTTGTATAAAGATCAAATAGTTTTTTAATTAAAAAATTATTAATTTTTTTTTTTTAATATATTAATAGATGGTGAAGGTCAAATTTATGTTCCATTATCTGCTTTTCAAGAAATGTTAAATGAATTGAGAAAAGAAATGGAGGAATTAATGAATAGAAAATTAGATGAAATGTATGTTGATTTGGCCAATAAAGCTTTTGCTGCTCTTCAAGCTGCTTGTAATGAATATAATACCAGAGTCGCCGCTTATGAAAAAGCTTATGGGTCAGGAAGATCAATGGGATCAATGGATTCAAAATCAGTTCCAAATTACTTAAAGATGAATATTGCTGATGAAAAATTAATCAATTCTGATGAAAATGCATTAAAAGAAATGATAAGAATGCAACATTCAATTGTTATTAATGAAATGGAACGTTGCTTTATTTTATTCACTGAAGGAACAACAGATCAAAACAAATTGTTAATTGGTAATTTGGTTACTGGTACTTTGTTCTACGTCTTGATCCAAAGAGATGTATTTTATAAGGGTGCTGAATGGGGTTTTCCTAATGACTATATCAATCGATCCAAAGTTATGATCTCAGAAAGAATTGATAAGTCAATGGGCCATATCACCAAGTTATTGGGTAAAGGTTTAAGTATGACTGAAGTCTCCAAAGAAAACTCACCAGATATTTATAATATCTATAAACAATTTGCTTATTTGGATGTTACAAGGTAAGTTTTTATGAGTTGTAATATATTATATAGTTGGGCCATATATTAATTATTTTTATTAATTTTTAGATTTCCATTGGGCTCTAAAAGATATCCAGTTAGTTCAAATCATACTGCAGTTATTCCAACCGAGTTTAATGATGGTGAAAAGTATACTTATATTATAGAAACCAAAGGTTCAAAGATGACAGATCCACTTATTAGCCAACAAGTTGAACATATATACGATTGTCAGTCATTTAATTGTTCAAGTTACGAATTTAAAGTATCCAGACCATCAAAATCATTTACATCAGCTGTTATCTACATTCATACATCTGTTGAGGTTGATTCATCAAATCCACTAACTACTTTTACTGTTGATGGCACATCATATACATCAACATCTGAGGATGTAAAGGATGAAGTATTTTACCTTGGATGGCCATTAACAAGATATGCCAAACTCACAGTTTCATTCAACCAACCAAAGACAGAATTTACAGTTAAACAAAGTTATCCAGCATCCGGTTATCCAGTTATTTATGGTTGCCATGCTAAACTAATTCTTAAATAATCACAAGGTTCATTAATTATTAAATTATTTTTGGTCTAATATTATTAAATAAATTATAATATTCATTTGCTTTTATGAAAAAAAAAAAAAAAACAATTGTTTTTGTATTTTATTTGTTTATTTTAAAATAAAGATTTAATTTCATCGCTATCGGCTAAATCTAAAGGAGTGGAATCTGAATTATCTTTTAATGATCTATTGATTTTTTCTTGGGTAAGCAAGAATTTGCAAATTTCAACATGGTTACAAAGTGTGGAGTAATGAAGTGGTGTCATACCTTCTGAATCTTGATGATTTATATCGGCACCATTTTCAACTAAAATTTTAACAATTTCATAAATACCTCTATCACAAGCATATGTCAATGGAGTTCTACCTTCTTTATCTTTTTCATTGATTTTACTTTTATCTTTTTCTAACTCTTCTTTGAATTTATTTAAATTATTTTCGCTAATCCAAAAGCTTAAGTCTTGAACTCTATGTAAATTAAAAGTTTTATTAATAAATTAGTTTTGTATGGTTATTATTTTACATTGATAAAGTTTTAATAATTACTGTTCTTCTTTTGATAGTTTTTCTAAAGTTTCATCATCCACCATAGAAAATTTGCTGACAACTGGACCCATCCATTTTGATTTTGATTTTGATTTTTCTTCTTCTCTACCTTCTTGTTTTAATTGGGCATATTCCTCTTTTTGAACTCTTTCTTGTTCATTAAATTCTTCATCTTCTAAAAAGATACTTTGTGATTCTGCTTGTTTGGCACCAATATTGCTATCCCATCCTGGTGCAATTTTATTAACTAGACTTATATAACTATTCATTGCAACAATTTTATCTACTCCTTTTAACGAGTTCCAACTATTCCTATAATATAAAATATTGTTAGTATTCGCGTTACTATTATTATTACTATTATTGATTGTTGTGGTTGTTATTATTGTTAGTATTTAATAGTACCATTTGGTTTTACCGATATAATCATAAAATGGAGGTTGTTTTGTGTTGCAATCCCCTATGGTTGCTTGTTTGAAATTACAATATAAATATAATTGTTCTTCATTTTTTAAATTACTTAGTTTGCTAGAATTATTGGTTACATATTCTACAGCTTGATTAAACTTGTTTTCTATATCTTGATGGCTCATTGTGTGTATAATTAATTGTTTTTTTTTTTAATTCAAAAATCTAATTTTTTTAATTAAAATTTTAAAAAAATTTTTATTTTTATTTTTTTAATTTTTTTTTTTTTTTTTAATTTAAAAATTATTTTTTCATTTTTTTATAAAATTACAATCACAAAGAATATTTTATTTATTTGTTTGATTTATTTATTTATTATTTGTTATTTATTTATTGATTTGTTAAAATATATTTACATTGAGCCATTCCTCAAAAAATAGCAATCAAATGTGTAAAATGGATAATCATTTCCATTTTTGTTAAATCTAATAATAAAACATTTATCATTTGTTAAAAAATTCCTCTTCTCATAGTTTTTTGTTTATAAAGTTTTATTTGTTTAATTTTGTAAATTGTTACACTCTTTTATTTTTAACTTTTTTCAGTTAAAATTTCTACAATTTACAATTTTTTTTATCATGGCAATCATTTTACAAAACCACTGCTTCTTTTTACACTTTGGTATTAATGAAAAACTTTTTTTCATTTTTTTTTTTTTTTTTTTTATATAAATAAGACCAAAAAAAATAAGTTTTTTTAATATTTTTAAATTATAATTTTATTTATTATAACAAATAATTATTAAATGGAATCAGCATCAATTAAAACTGCTTTGGACTTTTTAGAGTACAACAGAAAACATAAAGTTAATGTTGAAAAAAGTAATAAACCTAATTCTCATATTGCCCCACGTTTCAATTGGAAGAGAGATCTTGGTACTTGGTTAGGTGGCTTGATTGGTTCAATTCCAATTTTTGTAAGCTTTTTAGTTTTAATTATCCAAAAAAAAAATTTTACTAATTTTATTTTTTATATTTTTTAAAACATAGGGTTCAATCGCTGCTGTAAGTTTAAATTAAGAAAAACTTTGATTTATAATAATATTATTAGTATTAACTTTAATTATATTTTGATTTTTTTTAATGCTTCATTTTTTTATAGGCATGGTTTAATATCGGTTATACTCACTTTTTTATGGGTTTGTATTAGTTAGTTTAAATAATAAAATTTTATAATAAAATTAAATATTAATATTAATTTTGGTATATAACAATAAATAGATGGTGATGGTCAAGTTTATGTTCCAGTAACTGTTTTTCAAGATATGTTGAATGAATTCAGAGAAGAAATGGAGGTTTTAATGAATGAGAAATTAGATGACATGTATGTTGATTTGGCCAATAAAGCCTTTGCCACTCTCCAACTTGCTTGCAACGAATATAATACCAGAGTTGCCGCTTATGAAAAAAATTATGGATCAGGAAAATCAATGGGATCAATGGATTCAAAATCAGTTCCAAATTACTTAAAGATCAAAATTACAGATGAAAAACTTATCAATTCTGATGAAGAAGCAGCAAAAGAAATGATAAGAACTCAACATTCAATTGTAATCAATGAAATGGAACGTTGTTTCATTTTGTTTACTGAGGGAACAAAAGAACAAAACGAGTTATTAGTTGGTAATTTATTTACAGGGTCCTTATTCTACATTCTAATCCAAAGAGATGTCTACTATAAAGGACAAGAATGGGGTTTTTCAAATGATTATATCCAAAGAGCCAAATCTATGGTCACCGATAGAATTGATAAAACTTTTACACATGTTCTCAAGTTAATGGGATCGGTTTTAAGTCTCAGTCAAGTCAGTAAAGAAAAAGCTGAAGATCTATTCAATATCTATAAACAATTTGCTTACTTGGATCCATCACGTTTCCCATTAGGTTCCACCAGAGTTCCAATTAGCACATCAAATTACACTGCTGTAATTCCAAAAGAGTTTGAAAATGGTGATGACTATGCATACATCTTTGAAACCATAAATGCTAAAAACACTGATTTCTTTGCAGGTAATTTAGAATATGTCTACAATATCGATCTTTATTCTGCCACTTCGTTTGAATTCAAGATCTCAAGACCTTCAAAACAATTTACCACTGGTTCTCTTTATGTATATGTACCTAAAAACTTTACAGGTGGATCAGATCCAATCGTTTACAAAGTCAATTCAAAAGTTATAACTCCAACATACGCCGAAACAAAAGATGAAGCATCATATCTCGGTTTTGCAATTACCCAATATGCAAAATTAGATGTAACTATCAACGCTACTGAATTTACATTAAGTGTATCTCATCCAACTCAATATAATTTAATGACATCCCATGTTAAAGCATTCCTCAAATAAAAAAAGAGATGTCAGAAAATTAAACTATTTCTAAAAATTAATATTAAAAAGAAAAAAAGAAAAACAAGAAATAGTAAGGTTTAAATAAAAGATATTATTTTATTAAAATAATTTTAATCTACATCAGATAAAGGTGTTGTTTCATTATCTACATTTCTTATTTCTTTTTTTATATTTTCGTTATTATTTTTGGCATTATTATTATCATTATTATTATTGCTGTCATCTTTGTTATTATTAACATCTTGGTTGTTATCTGTGGTGACCTTGTCTTTATTTTCTATTTTTTCTGTTGGGGATATTTCATCGTTTTTAATGTTGGGTGATAGATCATTACTATTGTTATTATCAGCATTATTTAGCTGTGATTTTAAATCATTTCTTTCTTTTTGTAATGTTGCCATTAAGCTCTTTAAAGTTTCTAATTGTTTTAAATTCTTTGCAACTTGTTCATTTAATGATTTAATATGATTTTCGTGTTTACCATTTTTCTTTGTTAATGATTTATTTTCGATATCTAATTGTTTATTTGATTTGGTTAACTAAATTTAAATTAATTAATAAATTAGTATCTATTATAATAAAATTATTTATTGTTTATAAATATATATAATATACCTTTTCAATTTCGGATTTAAAAGTAGTAAATGCAACATTTGATTTTGAAATAACATCTTGGAATTTTTCAAAGTTTTCTTCATAATATTCGACTTTTTTTTTTAATTTTGATTCTTCTTCAATCATGCTTTCACATTTTTCTTTGTATACCTTAACTTTTAAAGCGTCAACTGTGGAGACACCAATAATATGTTCTAGTTTAGTTTCTAATAGTTGGGTTTCTAAATCTTTTTTCTTTAATATAGTCTTGTAGTGTTTTTCCCTACTTTCATTTTGATCTGAATACTCTTTAAGTTTATTTTGTAATAACTCTACATGTTGATTATATTTCTCTCTTTGAGTATTGAATTCTTCCAATCTATTGGTAATATCTGAAATTGAAGTGTTAAACTTAGATGATAACAAATCCCTTTTGACTTCTTCCTCTTCTGATGTTTTTTTAACCTCTTCTACAAGATCATGATTTCTCTTTTGTAATTCTCTGGCTAATGTCTCTAACTTTACTTTAATTTCTTTTGTTTTTGTTAATTCTTGGGTAGCTTTTTGTAAATCATTTTTTAATATTTCATTTTTAATTTTTAATTGATCATTTGCTTTATTTTCAATAAACTAAATTGAATCCAGAAAGAAAGAAAGAAAGAAAAAAACAAAAAAAAAAATTAGTCAACACGGATTTATTTAAAATTTAATTAGTCAACACTATATTTAAACCATACAGATTTTGAATATTTTTCGAAAATTAATTGATATTTTTCTTCAGCTGATAGGTTTTCCATTGATTGTTTGAGATCATCCAAATGTTTATCAACAGATTTTTTCATCTTCTTTTCTTCATTTGGGTTAAGATTAATTTCTAATTCTTGAATTTTACTTGAAAGTAATGATTGAATTATTTTATTATTATTACCATTACTGGTAATGCTAGGACTCTCTTTTTTAGACATTGATTTATAAATAAATATATAAATAAATAAATAAATAAATAAAAATTAAAAATAAATTAAAATAAAAAAAAAAAAAAAAAAATTAAAAAAATTAAAAAAAAAAAAAAAAAAAATTAAAAAAAAAAACATTGTTTTTTAATTATATGTTTACCAATGATATATACCTTTTTTTAGGTAACATTAGGGTTTAGCATTTAAATTCCCTTTATTATAAAATATGTGTATATATACATATTTATAAAAATATTATTTGTTATTGATTAAAATCAATATGTATAGAAAAAATAATACCACGATTTCTTTAATTTTATTTGAAAAATTTTGATGTACCACATATTAATTTATTTTTTTTTAATTTATTTTTTTCAATAAATTAATATTAAATTAAAAAAAAATTATAATAAATATTTTTTTTATTTTTTTTTTTTTTGTTTTTTTTTATTTTTTGTGTATGGTTTTTTATTTGTGTGAAAAATTATAGTTATAATAAATATAATAAATATAATAAATATTAAAATATAAAAGTATTAAATAGTGTTTTGTGTAAAATTTTTTTTTTTCAATAATAATTATTTATAAAAATAAAATAAAGAATATTAAATAATAGTTATAATAAAATGAATACCGAAAGTAATCAAGAGGAGTTTATTCAACAAAATCCACTTCAGTCTACAGGTATAGATAATATAAATGTAGGAGTAAACAACAACTTATCAACTTCCTCCTCATCATCATTTATAAAGAATTTAGTTAATCAAGGAACCAATTTACTCTTTTCTTCATCATCATCAATTTCATCTCCACCTACAGCATCACAACCAACCACTACAGGTATTAATGGGGCATTTACCTTTGAAAATGATATGAGTGATGGCTTTGAAATTCTTTGTAAAAAAACAGAAATCGGCATCGAACAGTGTAAAGATTTATTGGATTTCTTCAAGAAAAGAGCATCAATTGAAGAAAAATATTCAAAAAATGTTGCAGAATATTTTTCTAAATTCAAATTAAAAGATGAAAACGAGTAAGTATTACAAAGTATTTTAAAAAAATAAAAAAAAAAAAATAATTAACATTTATTTTTTTAGTTCATTCCAAAAAGGGGTTTCAGTTTTACATAAAATAGGGGAATCAGAATCAACCATCCATCAAACATTTTCAAAAAATTTATTAAATAATCTATGTCATCCTTTTAATACTTTAATTAAAGATATGGAGCAAAAAAGAAAAAATGTAATTATAATTTTTAATATAATATTTACATTATTTAATTTTATTAATATATTGTAAAAAATTTAGTTAGTTAACGATGGTCAAAAATTAAGAAATGAATTAAAAGAATCAGTTGAATTATTAAAGAAGGCACACTTAAAATATGAAAAGCAATGTAAAGAAATGGAATTAGCAAAATTAGAATTGATTGAAAGAGATATACCAGACAGTGTCAAAGTACAAGCATTGGAAAGAAAATTAGCAAAGTGTGAATCCAATTCAATTTTAGCAGAGGAAGAATACAAAAATCAATTAAAAGAAACCAACGAGTTTATAACTGGTCCATATCAAACAAGATTAAGTGAAAATTTAAAAGAGTTTGAACAATTTGAATCAATGAGATTACAATTCTTAAAGAGTAATGTTAAAAACTATGTTGGCTTAATGATGGAAATTCCACTCAATTTAGAATGTGAAATTAATGGTGCAAACACTAGTGTAGATTTCATCGATCCAGATAGTGACATTCAAAACTTTATCAAAAATAATTGTTCACCAAAAAAAGTATTTACTCCTTTCCAATTTGAAACCTATGTAGAGGGTAAGAAACAGCCAACAACATTAAACTATGCAGTCTCTGAACCAACAGTAGCCTCAGAATCAACAACAACAGCCCCCACCAATTCAATTACACCATCTACAGTTGCCGCTCAACCACCATCTACCGCCCCTGATAGAGATTTAACCAGTGTCAACCTATCATCAAGCCCACCACCACCAAAACAATCTTTAAAAGAAAATATTTTCGGTTTCTTTAATAAAGCTTCAAATAATTTAAAATCCTCAACTACCAGTTTATTAAATAAAGATGACGGTGCATCGAACCTCTCTAAATCATCATCATCAATTGTTGGCATCCCAACCAATAACCCAAATTCTATTTTTGGTATCGAGCTAGAAGAGTTAATGGATAGACAAAGAGATGAATATCAGTCTATTGAAGTACCAATTATTTTAATGCAATTTGTCCAATCATTATTAAAACTTAATGCATTAGAAAAAGAAAACATTTTTTCAGCTGTACCAAGTTGTAATATTCAACATGAAAAACAAAAATTAGATCTTGGTGGTAGTGTTGATAATATAAATGATGTTTATATTGTTGCAACATTATTTAAGCATTGGTTAAGAGACTTACCAAATCCATTAATTTCTTATGCAATTTAGTAAGTTATAGTTTATTTATTCACCTTAAATATAATAATTTTTATTAACAATAATTTTTATATTTACAGTGATGAAATTATAGAATCTCCCGAAAACAGTTGGAAGATTATAGAAAGTGGTATACCAGTACTTCATAGAAAGACATTACACTATATCATTGATTTCTTAGCAGAATTTACAGAACCAGAGTTTGTTAAATCATCTAAAATGGACACCCATAGCATTGCAGTTATTCTAGCACCAGTTTTAATTAGATCACCAGGAACTAAGGATTCTCCAGCAAATGCTTTACAAAATTCAAAGAGAGAGGTTGGTGTTATCGAAAGTATGATTGTGGATTGTTTTGAAAAAAGAAAAACAAATAACTATTTTTTAAAGAAAAAACTTCCAATTATTCAAGATAGTGATGGAGATGATAGTAACAATAATAGTATGGAAGAGGATGATAATCAGAATGAATATATTGATAAACAACAATTTCAGCAACAAGAAAAAAATATTATTAATTCCAGTAGTGGAAGTAATAATAGTAGTGGAAGTGGAAGTATTGGATCACATCATCATTATCAATATCAAACAACTCCTACAAACAATGTAACACCTGTTCTTTCTTCTGCTTCAGATTTTGACGAAATTTCAATTTCCAAAACAAACCCACCAAGAAATTCAAGCATACTATCCTTTGGTAATAGTGATACTTTTTCAACAAATCAATCAGATTCAGAACAAAACTTGGTCGATGAAGATTTTGACATTTTATCCTATAAATAATAGTAATGTAAATTTTATAAACCCTTTTTTTAAATTATTAAATTTTAATAAATCTATATTTTTTTAAATTTTTATAAATCCATAATTTTTTTCAAACTTTAAATATTGTATAGTTTTAAAAAAGATTACTCATTTAAGAGTAAATTCGAACTTTTTTTATTTTAATCTTTTGAAAAAATTAATTTGAAAATATAAAGATAACAATAATGAATACCAATTGATGTATAAACTGATGTTATCATTAGGGCTATGAAGGAATATTTTTCGATATGAGCTAAATAGAATGGATGAATAAAAATATTGAAAATTTCTAAACCAATCAAACCAATTAAATAAACTATTTCGTAAAAATATAAACCTAAACCATTATTATTATTTTGCTTTTTTGATTGAGATTGTTGATTAGTTGAAATTATTGATAAATATAATAAAATAGTATAAAATGCTAAAACTAATATTCTAGTTGTTATTTCAGTTGGTTTAAAAAGAAGTGGGAAAAGTGAATAATGACCAACTGTTGAGAGAATGAAATATAATTTTGAAAAACGATTATTTGATGCTAAACTTAAAAATCCTAAAGGAATTGTGATCATAATGATTGCTTTTTCGTGAACGTGCCATCCAAACATAAAGAATGTAAATGAGCTTTGACATATACCTAAAATAAAATCTTTCCAATTTTTACTCTTTATAATTCCATAAATTGAAGGCTAAAAAAAATAAACAAATTAATTAACAATGATATCAGATCAAATACAATAAAAAATAATATTTACAATTAAAAATAATACTGTAATGAGTAAAGTGATTGGTGGAGTAATTTTTGGTAAGATTGCATGGGTTTGACTATCACTTCCTACAAGACCAGATGTTAAATTTCCAGAAACATCACTAGAGATTATTAAATCTTTAAAGAATGGGATTTTTTTATATAGACCATTAAATAAAAGAATTCTATCTAAAAAGTTGTACAAACTCCAAAAGTTTGGGGCCCAGTATGCGTGAGATAAACCTCTACCAAATGGAAATAGTCTTGATAAAAGTTGAGGAATTTGGCCCATGGCTATAAATGGTCCAAGTGATAATGCAAAAATGAATAAAACTGAGCTTCCTAATTTGATAAAGTTGAAGATATTTATATTGGAAATTGAAAATTTGTTGTTTTTTTTATTTTCAAAACAATAATAAATTAAAAGGTATACAAAATAAGCTGGTGCCATATACATATATATATGCTTGAAATTTAATAAAACACAAAATAAAACTGACCCAACTAAAATATTGCCTCTAATAATAAAATACATTGATAAAATAAGTATACCTTTTAAAAACCCATTATATTGAAAATGAATATCTAAATAAAAATAAAATTAATAATTGATTAGTCAAAACGTTAATAGTTATTACACTTATAATGTATCATAAAAAATACATACGATCAACCATTAATAAACCTGGATTTAAAATTACAATTAATGATACTAAAAATGATTTATCTTGATACCATGCCAATGATTGTGATGAGGACTTGTTATTTTTGTTATTGTTGCTAATATTTGAATAAATTAAGTTTGATAAAAGTAATGTTGCAATTATAAAAAGTAAATCTGAAAAAATTACAGAAAATCTTTGAAATAAAATGGTTTGAATAGTAGAGTAATTTAAATTATTAATCTCTAACATTCCTTTATCGAAATAATATGCTGCTTTTGAAAGAGTAAATTCAAACCATGCAAAAAATGGTGGATAGTCTAATGTCCATTCCGAAGTATTTTCAAAATACCATTTTGAAATTGGCAATGATGATGTTATTGCCAACCAATTTCTATGAACTTCGAAATCTGTACTAAAACTATGTAAAGAATTAAAAACATGTTCCAATAAATCTTTAAATAACTATATTCAAACTTACTATGATGGAATTAACAATAACTTTATTGTGGTTATGAATAATAGTAAATTCCAATTTCTAGTTTGTTTTAAAATTGATTTTAATTCACCAATAAAACAAACTTTGTTTGCAGGATCTTGACCTTCACTTTTAATCATTTTTTATTAATAATTAAAAATAAATAAAAAAATAAAAAAATCATTTGAAAAATATTTTTTTTATTTTAATTTTTTTTTTTTTTTTTTTTTTTATTTTTATAATTTTTTTTTTAAAATTTTTATAATTTTTTAATTTAAACACCACAGCAAAATAATAAATCATTATAATTTTTCATAGACTATTATTTATATTTTATACATATATATACATTCATATTAAACAATGATATTTAGATTTTTGGGTAATAATAATTCAAATGAATTACCAGATCAACAATTATTAAATGAAATTGGATATTTAAGTAATTTTGAAGACGAAGCATTAGAACAATTAATAGAAAATGTTTTTGAATTTATGATTATTCAAAAAGCTGAAGATTTAATGAAGAGTATTTCAGATTTTAGTCAACAACACTCTGTTAACGAAAATACCATTAAAAATATAGTTAGAGGATGCATTGTATTTTTCAAAGGTTCAGCAAAGAATAATTTAACCCCAGATTATGTTAAAGAGGATTTAATTAATTTCAAATTATCAGAAGATCAAGCTAAAATTGTATCATTAAAATATAAACAACATTTCATAGATCTCTCAAGATCATTAGTCGGTAATTCCTTATCAATTCAACAAGTTTTAGATATGCAATGGAGATTTGGTGTTACAACTTCATCAAGTGAATTTACAAAATCAAATACAACCGGTAGTACATTTTTACAATTAAAATTAGTTTTAGATAAAGGAAATAATATAAAAGAAGATGTTCATATGGGTATGTTTATTATTACATTTCATTACAATACATAATACTAAAGTTTATATTTTAACTTTTTTAAATCTTTAGAATTAACTTTACCACAATTTTATGAATTTTTAAAACAAATGCAAAGTGCCAAACAAAGTTTAGAATATTTAAATTAAATAAATAAATAAAAATAAAAAATTAAAATAATAAATATTAAAAAAAAAAAAAAGAAAGAAAAACCCTATGTTATTATTTATATTTTACAAAAACCGGTGGTTAATAATAAAACTAACCTTCTTTTATTTACAAAAATATTTCAAATGTTATTATTTCTTTTCTTTTTTTTAGTTTAATAAATAAAAAAAAAAAAAAGAAAATAAATTTATATTATTATTATTATTACTGTTAATTATTAATATATGTGTGGTTGGTATTATTTTCTTCATTATCATTATTGTTTATTTTGTTTGTGCAACTTGAGCTATGATTAGAGCCAATATTATTTGAATTTAAAATTTTTAAAACTTGATCGCAATGTTCACAAAAATTTTCAGATAATCTTTGTTTGTATACTTCGTATGTATGAGAGCTAACCAATTCTTTAATATCAAAGGATACTGGGGTTTCTTGACATTCTGGACAAACTAGGTTTTCTAATGTATCACCTTCGACGTTTAAGGTGATGTAGGCGGCTAAACATTCTTTACAGTAATAATGGTTACAATTAAAAATAGTGAAATATCTAATAGTTTAAAAAAAAAAAAAAAGAAAAGATTAATAAATGATATTTTTTTTTTATATTTTTTTTTTATATATTTTACTTACTCTTCATTTCCATTATAATAATTACAAGATGAACAAACTTTAGTTGGTACATCATTTTCAATATCGTAACTTACTAAATATGCAATTGGATCATAATTAATTTCGTCATTTAAATCCATTGGTGGTAATGTTAAACTATAATGAGTATGAACTATCGCTTCTTCATATTTACTCGATAATAAATTGGATTTATTGGTAATGGTATTGGATTGGGATGAGGTTGATGGTGATGTGGTTAAATTGGTGGTTGTGGTGGTTGTGGTGGCAGAGTTATCAGTTGGGTTAAAGATTTGTTTGGTTATTATGGTGGTAGTGGTACGGATTGTAATTAGATTTAAAAAGAATAAAGACTCCTCTCTAAGCCAGTTTGCCCAATTTGAAATGATTGGAAAGTTTTTATGAGCATTCCAAATCGATACCAATTGATTTGAAAGAATCGACAAGCATCTTTCGCCTAACCAATCACAATCTAATTTAAACGATTCGACCGATGAATATAGTGGATATGTATCATTTAATTTAAATGTTAAAAAAATTGGTGGTAACTTTGAAACTGTGCAATAATCTTCGAAATTTTCATTCTCTAAAAGTGATGTGGTGTATGAATTTAATCCAATTCTTTCAGTTGGTAAAATTGGTACTAAACATAACTGAAAAGAAAAATAATGTTAATATATATATATATTTTAATTGATTTAAATATGCATTAATTATACTTACTCTATAACATCTATCAGCCTGTTTTAAAATCATGAAATGATTTTTAAAAATTTGTTTCAATGTATAGATTTCATTTTGTTGTAATGTTTTGATTAACTCTGACATTGACTTACTGTATCTTAACAATGAAGAGGATCTTCTACCTCTTGTGGTTGGTGGGGGTGAATTTCTTGGCGATATATTATTTCTTGGTGATGGTTGATTGTTTCTTGGTGACGATTGATTATTTCTTGGTGATGATTGATTATTTCTTGGTGAGTGATTATTTCTTGGGGATTGATTATTTCTGGGTGAAGATGATGAGGCGTTTCTTGGTGATGATGAAGATGAATTTTGTTGTTCGTTTGAATGTAGAATTGGTAATTGGTGTAATAATAATAATGATCCCGATGTCAATGCACTTCCAGAACCATTTTTTTTATGATGATAATTTAATGTTTTTTCCATTTTATTTTATATTTAAAAATGTACAAGATTATTAAAGATTTATATAAAAATTATAAAAATTGTATATTTAGAAAAAAAAAAAATATTTAAATTTACATAAACTTTATAGATAAATAAATAAATAAATAAATAAATAAATAAATAAAATATAAAACTATAGAAATAATATTACAAATAAATATATTACAAAAAAAAAAAAAAAAAAGATTAAATAATGTAAACTGTGATAAGTGGGTGTGGTATTATTAAAAAAAAAATTATAAAAAAAATTATAAAAAAAATTATAAAAAAAATAATAATTGAGATGAATAACGATTTATAAAAAAAACAAAATTAATATTAATTATTGTTTTTATTTATAAATCTTGAAAAAAGATATATTATAATAATGAGTGTTGAAATAGGCAGTAATAAAACCAGCTTTTATTATAATTTAATTGTTAAAATGATAATTTTAGAATTTTATGATACTACTCTGTATTTGATTATGTGTGTGTTTGGGGGAATGATAACAACAATTAATATGACATATGTTTTATTGTTGTTTTTCTTTCTGTTTTTCAATTTTTTGAAAATTATAAATATATATATTTACAAAAAAGTTTTTATTAATTACTATATCAAATAAAAAAAAAAAATTATAAAGATAATAATAATAATTAGATGATGATTATGAGAAGATTATTATTAATGAATTGAATAAAATTAAAAAAAAAAAACTTTAAATATTTTAAAAATTAAAAATAATTATTATTTTAAAAATAAAATAAAAAAATTTTATCAACAACAACAAAAAATTTGTTAATTAAAATCTTAACACACACACCCACACACACACACATACACACATACACACATCAACTACAAACAAACCCACACATCAAAAAAAAAAACACAATACGACACACACCCCACACTCCCACACCTAAACAAAAAATGATTATTTTTTTAAAGAATTAAGCCTCTTAATCTAAAATTTTTTTTTTTTTTTTTTTTATTAAAAATTATTATAGTTTGTTTTATGAAGGAAAAAAAAAATTTAATGGTATTTAATTGATAAATTTTTAAAAGAGGGGGTATTGAATTTAAAATTGTAGTTTTTTAGTAACCCTACCTAACATTTTAATACAATGTAAAATTTTTTAAAAAATTCCAAAAAAGTAGTTTTAACCTGCTTTTGTAGATTAAAAAATAATTTTTTTTCATTTTTTTAAAATGATTTCGAATTGTGATTGGTTGATTTTGAAATTTGTTTGATGGTTTTTTAAGAAACACAATTAAACTTTTAATGGAATTATTAGAATAGTTTTTTATTTTTTTGTGTTTGATGATTATGTGTATTTTGTGTGTAGTGGTAGTGGTAGTGGTAGTGGTAGTGATAGTAATAGTAATAGTGGTATTAGTACCTAAGTAATAAAGTGGTTAGTTGAAGTGTGTATGTGTTAAAAATTTATTGGTTATTGATGATGTTATTGATAAAATGGGCATAAACTATTACTATTTGGCGTGCGCGATACACACCATTTTTAAAAATAAAAAAAAAAGTGTTTGTTTCCTTGATTAGAAAAGATTTTTTTTTTTCTTTTAATATCCAAATTATTTATTATTATTATTATTTTTATTATTATTATTATCACTCCAATTATAATAAACGAAGGAACAAAAAAAAAAAAACACAGTATATGGCAATTTAATCAAAACAAAATCAAGATAAGAAATAAATTTGGTAATTTAAATAGAATTAAAGTAAATTTGAAACAATAAAATCAAAAACACACAATTTATAACTGGATGTAAAACTGAAAACTTGAAAACCAAAAACACACAACAAAATATTTATCGTAAAATAGAAAAAAACAATTATTAGAATGATTTTATTTTAATTATTATATTAATTATAATATTATTTTGTGTTGTGATTATACTTTTTTTTTTTTTTTTCCCGTAAAATAAAACTAAGTTATTTAGGTTTATATTTTACTATTTTTAACAAAAAAAAAAAACTCTATTTTTAATTAAAAACAATAATACTAATTTTAACCAAAAAAAATAATACTATTTTTAACTAAAATCTAAAATACTATTTTTAACTAAAAGTTAAAATACTATTTTTAACAAAAGTAAAATATTATTTTTAACTAAAACACACCCAACACTAAATGTCCTCCCCAATACACAACGACTTTTTCCATTATTTAATTTAATGTGTAAATTTCTTTGTGTCCAAAAAAAAAATTAATAAAATAAAAAAAATAAAAAAATAAAAAATTTAGAAAAAAAAAAAAAATAACAAAACTAAAAAAAAAAAATAAAAGTAAAAGTAAAAATGATTAAATCAATTTCATTCAATCATTCTTTTTTTTTATTTATTATTTATCATTTTTATTTTATTTTTATTATTATCTTTTTATTATTTTGAAAAAATTTTAATTTTTTTTACATAAAATGTGTTTTTTTGTATAGCGGCAACATTGACCCGCCTATTTTTATATTACAGTTAATTTTTGATTTTTTTTTAAATTTTTATTTTATTTTTTTTGCAAAAAAAAAAACAATTTTCTATTAATATTTATAATATTAACACCACAAACACCTTTTTATTATTATTTTCTAACTTTAAAGTTTTTTTTCAATAAATCTTATTTTTTTTTTAACTATAATAATAATAATATAATAATAATTATTTTATTTATTTGATTATTAAAGATAAATTAATTTTTTTTAATAAACTAGTAAAACACGCTCACACACTATTTTTTTTCTATTATAAATAGGTAAAAGGTGTCCCACACAAAACAATATATAAAGCCACTCAATTGGTTTTTATTTTATTTTAATTTCTTTTTTTTTAAAAAGTATGTACTATTTTTTTTATTTTTAGGGTTAATTTTTTTTTTTTAATTATTAATGATTAAGATAATAGATACTAATATAAATTATTAATTTTATATGTTATTTTTTATTAATAATAAATAAATAAAAACAAAAGACGTTATTTTTTTCTATTTAAATTATAAAAATTAGAGTTGTAACAATATTAAGTAGTAATAGTATTTAAAAGTAACACAATAATCACAATAATAACAATAATAACAATAATAACAATAATCACAATAACAACAAAATAATTATATAATTCATAATAATTTTTATTATGAAATGATAGAAATTAAAGCAGTGCCAATATCAACAAAAATAATAGAGGAAAATAATATAATAGATCAAAATGAAAATAATAAACCATTTTCACTTATAATCTCAAATGATAACAATAGTAATAACAATTTTAATTCGTATCCAAGCTCACCACCCAATACACCATTTAAATATAATACAATCAATTTCTCCAGTGGAATTAAAGAAAATGAAATAGTAATGGATGAAGATGAAGAGAGTGACATCGCTATTCAAAATAGATTATTTTTAAACCCATTTCATAGATCTAGATCGATAACTATTGCAGGCTCACCAACACCAAAATTAGATTTAACAACATTACCAAATTGCCAACGTGGTTCAGTGGATGATACAATAGTACTTAAATCATCGAGTGGTAGTAATAATGGTGGTATATTTAATAATAGTAATGGAATACTGTTATCGCCATCTTTAGGTGGGTCTCATACTCCACTTTCAGTAACCCCTACTGCCTCACCGCTACACACCCCTCAACAGCACCATCATCTTCATCTACAACCTCCATTACAAAATTTAACTTTATCACCATTTTCAGTTCAAAAAAGATCTTTCACTCAATTAGTAACACCAGGTAATAATAGTTTGTTACCAACACCACCTTCAACGCCCCCAACTCCACAACAAAAAGTTTTCTCACCCCCAAGAAGAAGGAATACTTGTGCCAACTTATCAAATAAACTACACTCTGTTTACTCACCGCATAAATCATCACCAAGTAGCAACAACTTTTTACCTAACCAACTCCATTCACCTATTTCAATTTCAAATAATAGTAATTACTCCACAAACTCAATTGCTTTATCAGACTACTTGGCAAGTGAAACAATCAATAGTAATAGTAACAATGTAGCCAATACCATTTCCCCAACTTTAATTGGTAGTGATTCACCAATATATAAATCAACTTCAGTTTTTACACCATATAACGATAATTCAATTAAAAAATTAGAAAAAATAAAATCAAAAATCAATAATGACCAATTCAAGCATTATGAATCGATTTTTTCAGCATATAATGAATCATTGAAAACTTTAAAAGAAGGAGGAATGGGTGTATTAAATGGTGAGATTTTAGTATCAATCTTTCAATATCTAGATGTCCAAGAAATTTGTTCAATAGCCTTAACCTGCAGTTGGTGGAGAATAGTTTCTGAACAAAATGTTTTATGGTTAAAAAAATTTCATGATAAATTCCAAAGACCAAAAACAATTATTGATAGATTTTCACCATCTGAATCATGGAAAGAGTTATATATTCAACATTGTAAGTACAAAAAACTCGAGATTATATATTTTTTTAAAAAAAAAAAATATTAATTATAATTTCTTTAATTTTTAAAAATATAGATTTTTTAGATACATCCTATATGGAATTTGAAAGACTATTATCTCTTTTCCCAGTAACAGTTGAATATGAACATGACATTACAATTCTATTAAGTAAGGTTTTAAACTATTTAAAACATACAGAGTGTAGATCAGAATATATCGATAAATTAGAGCATTTAAAGAATATCCATTTAACATTTGGTAATAAAGTTGAAGCAGCCAATTGTTATTTACAACATAGCGAATTAATTTCATGGGACTCTAATCAGATTTTTAATGAAGAGTTTGGTTATCCAAAAGAAAGCTATTCAGATAGAAAAGAAAGAATTTTAAAATCAGCTTTATATTTACTATTCGATGGTAAATATTGGGAACGTTGCTTGATAATTATTAAACAACTAAGAAAAAAATATAAAAAAGAATTAGCAAAGTATCACAAATCATCTCAAACAAACATTAATAGCACACCATCGACAATAGCAGCAAATCAATTATCAGTTAACCAAAATATTTCAGAACAATATAAGAACTCCTTAGTATTAAAAATGATCGAAATATCAAAATTAGAAAATGAATGTTATAAATCAATCGATACCAAAGAAAGATTTTTTGAAGAATACTTTTTCGTTGAATTTCGTGGTAAAGGATTCCCAAAATCTGTAGATGGTAAAGATTTTATATTTAGGGGTAAAGAATTAGAAAAGTTAGGATCATTTGTTTCAAGATTAAAAAATAGATATCCAGGAGCTCAAGTTGTACCCAAAACTTCACAATTGGATATATCAAATGGTCAGTTTATTCATATTCGTCCATGTAAACCTGTATTATTACCAAAAGAATTAAATAGTCAAATTAATCAACAAAACAACAACAAAAATAATAACAATTCAAAAAACAATAATTTTAATAATAGAGCAAATTATAAATCACAAAAATCATTTATAAACAACAACTCTAAAGTATTTTTTTATTCTGTACCATTTAAAAAAGTTAAACCACAATCAATCACTGATAGTGGTAGCAAAGAAGTGAATGAATTCCTTGGTTTGTGGACAAGAAATACATTTATTATATCAAAATCAATTTTCCCATCATTAATTAGAAACAGCTTAATCAATGAAATCGTAGAAATTGAAAAAAATCCATTAGAGAATGCTGTAGAATCATTAGAGAAAAAGAATAAAGAATTGGACTCTTTATTCAAAACCTGTAAAATATCTATGCAATGGAGCAATCATCTAACAATGACTTTGAATGGGGTTATAGATGCTGCTGTTGCTGGTGGTATTAATATGTATAGAACTTTCTTCCAAGAAATGTACCTAAGAGAAAATCCAACTCATTTAGATCACTTAAAGAAATTAAAACAATTACTCGATGACCAAAAGGTACTTTTAGAATCCGGTTTAGATGTTCATACCCATTATTGCCCCGATAATATGAAAGCTTTACAACAAAAAATGGAAATCTGCTTTGAAAAATGGAAGCAGATTCAAAGTGAATTAACAATTCCAAACATTACAATTGATAATCAAGAGGAAGAAGAGGAAGAAGTTTATAATACCCATGTAGCTTCATTATCAAGATCACATTCAAATTTAGAATCAATGTTAAGTCTTATCAATAGCGAGCCAAGCGATTCTATAAATTTAACTCCAACCAAAAATAACAATAGTTTATCATCACCCTCTTCTCCATCTTCAACTATAAATCAAATTCAAAATCAATTAAATCAAAAACAAATCGAGCAGCTTTTAAAATTACAAAAGGATAGAGAGAGCGAGAGAAAGAAAGAACTTGAATTATCTCAAAAACTAGAACAGTTACATTTACAACAACAATTACAGCAACAACACGATTTAATTTTATATAATAATGAAAACATCAATAATAATGAAGTAATTAGTTCTAGCAGTAACAATAGTAAATTAAAAGCAACTTCAAGCAAACCTCCAATTTCAACTCCAATTTCAAATAAAACTTTATCAGTTTCAAGCTCTTCTATAAATACAAATACAAATCCTATTTTAAATAAAAAATCAATGATCTCTACCTCATCGCCTGCTATACCTACCTCACCTCCAAAACCATCAATAACCCAAAACCCAACTTCACCCCAAAAGAAATCACCCATACCAAAACAAAAACCAACTATCTCTTCTAAAAGCTCTACTACCACCACTGCTACTTTATCTACAACCAAAACAAATATTACAACTCCAACAAAAGCCACCAAACCAGCCTCAACAACAACTTCAGATCAATTTTTAAAACCACCAACTATAACCAGACCTTCATCAATTTCAAGATCCCTTACATCTATATCTGGACCATCATCAACACCTTCAAAATCAAAACTAAAGCAACCCTCCACTCCAATAAAATCAACTCCATCAAAACTAAACATCCCATCTTCCACTACATCTAATCTATCATCAACAGCAGCGAGTAAAGCATCCACAACTAAATCGGCTAGAGACATTTTTACAACCCCTAAAAAAGAATCATTAACAACATCAATCTCTTCAACACCGGTATCTACCAAACCATCTTCATTAACCAGACCAACCCAAAGTTCGTTAGCAAGAAAATTGGAAGTAGATTCAAAAAAAGAAATGAAATCAACAACCCTTCGTTTGAAATCTAAAGAGAGACCAATTCTTATCGAACCAAAAACCCCTCAAACAAAAAAAAGCTTTTCTAGCAGCGATACACCGCTTTCAAAGAAAATTGTTTTTGATATAAATGAAAATAACCAAACTTTATCACCAACCGACTCAATATCATCATTATCATCGACTTCTTCAAAGGGCAGTATTAAAACAGCAACATCCACTTCAAGTGTAACCAATAGCGCCATCAAATCAACTCCATCATCAAAAAGAATTTCAACAACATCATCAAAATCATTTAATCCAAATATGATCCCATTCAAATCAACAACCTCCTCACTTACTCGTTCATCGTCAACAATTGTTTCATCATCTCCACCACTCTCAAACATTAGTTTAAATGCAATTCCACCAATTGATATAGCCAAACCAATTCAAAAAACAACTACTACAACTTCTACCACTACAGCAACACCATCAGCAACATCAAAGAAAAGATTAAGCATTACAGATACTTTTAAAAGTGTTTTTTTAAATAATGATGACCAAACAAAAAAAAAATTAAAACAAGGTAATTCATCATTCTCCTCCTCATTCTCATCATCACTTTCGTCATCAATTACACCAACAACAAAGAAAAAATAAAACACAAGTAATAACATATATAATCAAATAAAATTTATTTATTTATTTAAATTAAATGTATTAATAAAAAAACTTTTAATCGATTTAAGAAATGTTGTTTAAAATTTTTTTATCTTTTTTTAATTATAAGATGAGTTGATGGAGTTTGATAGGTTAAACCAAAAGTACCATAATCAATTAATGGAGTATTGGGATTTGGGTTAATAAATTCATATCTATTTGCTAAGGTTGCTAAAATTGTAAAGATTTCACACTATTAAAATTGTTTTTAAAAATTAGTAAATTATTAAATAAAATTATAATATCAAAAATACTTACTGTTGCTAAAGATTTACCACTGCAATCTCTTACACCACAACCAAAATGCAATAAATTTGTTTGACTTCCATAATACAAATTGGAACCTTCATTAAATCTTTCTGGAATAAATTCATCAGGTTTTGGGAAAAACTCTTCACTTCTATGTGATGAATAAATATTTTGAAATATTTGGGTGCCAGCAGCGATTTTATGACCTTCTATTTCAATATCTTGAGTTGTTTCATGTGATATTCCTAAAAGTGTACTTGGGAATTTTCTAAAAGTTTCCTTCATTACCATTGATAGATATGGAAGAATTTGACTATATTTACTGTGGGTAATTACATCTTCATTTGGTGAAACTGTAGACACAATGCTTTTATGTAACTTGGTTTGAATTTCTGGATGGTTAGATAAAGAGATTAGGCCAAAAATAACAGTATTTGCACTTGTATCACTACCAGCTACAATCATATCAATTGAGGTGTTGACCACATTACCCCATGTTATTGAACCTTTTTCATACTCTTTAAGTAAACCAGTAATTATATTTCCATTTTCTTTCGAATCTAGATTAGCTTCATTATCTCTTTGGTATTTCTTTATTAAATTATCGGTTTCTGTGATAAGTCTATTAAAGGTGACGAAATAAGGGTGCTTAATATCTTTTGATTCTTTTTTTGTAAAAATTGGAACAAAGTCGTAAATAAGTGGATTACCTGCTACAACAAGAAAGTCTGAAATTGCTTTGATAATTCCTTCAGAGTGGGAAACCTTATCATATGGATAGTCTACACCAAAGAGGAATCTAAGTATAATGTTTAATGAAAACATATGGAGATAGTTGTTGATTTCAAATGGCTTTCCGTCTTCTGCATGGTCGTCAAATAGCTTAATTAATTTTTTACACTCTTGTACAATATGATCTTCCATTCTCTTAATTCTTACTGTTGTCATTTCACTAAGTACAATACGCTTTAAAATTTTGTGTCTTTCTCCATTTTCCCATACCACCTCTTCACATTTATTTAAAAGAGTTCTACTATTTGGTTGCCATCTTTTTTCGAAAATTTCAGAATTTTCGATAAAAGCCTTTCTTAAAGTGGGATAACCAGTTATTACAACTGTTTCGTAAATACCAACTCTGATTCTAAAGACATTACCATATTTTTTAAACCATTTTTGAAATTGCAAATGAAGATCCCCACCCATAAACATACAATGTCCTAATATCGGTAAACCTATCGGACCCGGTATTTTAGAATTAATTTTACTGATTCTTGAACTCTATTATATTAAAAAAATTATATTTAGTTTTATTTTCTATTAAAAATTTTCTTTTTATTGTAAAACTAAATATTTACATTTCTAAATAAAAAATAGGTAAAAACTAAAATAACTAATAGAATTAATATATTCATTTTGTTGACAATATTACTTTTAACTGTTATTATTATTTTTATTATTTTTATTATTATTATTATTATTATTATTTTTTTTTATCTTTGAAAGGTTTATTTTTTTTTTTTTTTCAAATATCATTAAATTAAAGATATATTTTTAATTTGATAAAAAAGATCTTTTTTTTGACTTTACTTAAAATCTTTTTTCCTTTTATAACTATTTATTTTAATTCTACTCCCACTCTGCTTCATTATAAAGATATAAATATATAAAAAAATGTGAAAAAAACAACTTAAAAATAAATTAATATATTTGTAGCCCAAAAATAATATTTAGATGTTTGAAATTTTTTTTTAATTATAATTTTAATATTAAAAAAAATATTGTTTTTTGTGGGTTATAGACACAAGATACCAAATTTCTTTTAAAAAATATAAAATTAAAAATATTTATAATTATTGAAAAATATATTCACCCAAAAAAACAGTTTAAAATACAAATTAAAAAAAAACAATTTCTTAAAATTTAAAGATAAAATTGTTTTTTTTTATTCTATTTTATGATTACCAATATTGGACAAAATCTTTTTATATTATTAATCTTTTTAATATTTTTACATTAAAATTTTTTTATTTTTTTATTTTTTAATATTTTAATTAAGATTGATCTTAAATGTTTATTGCAATTATTTTTAGAAAATAACCCTCCACCACATTTGATTTTTTTTTCCTTTGTTTAACTTTGATATAAATATTTATCTGATTCACCTTCAGCACGGGTAATATATTCTTTTTCAATTAATTGTTCAATACATTTCTTTATCATTGGGATATTGGGTTGGAATCTTGCTCTGCTGTGCTCAATTACCTCTTGGATTAAAGATACATGGTTCATCGATTTACGGGCCTTCATGATTCTAACAATTGAAGCTTGTAAATAAAGTTTTCTATCTTCATCAATACCTTTATAAGTTTCTTCGGTTTGAGTTGGAGTTTCTTTTTGTAATGAAGATGAAACCTTAACCTTGAGTCTTTTATTTGTATAACTACCATTTAATGAATATTCTTGGGTTGCAGAATCTGGGTTCTTTTTGGCTAATAAAAGTTTGGCTTCGATGAGTGATTGAATAGTTCTTGAAAGTTCATTTTCATTCAAGTTTGTGAATTTAGTAATTTCGTCTAGTGTAACTGTGTCTTGAGTATTAAAAATTAATAAAATACCTAATTGGAAATTTGTAACATGGAATTCAAAAGGTTTCTTGAGATAGGATGATTTGACCTCTGCTTTACATAAATGATGTAACCAATTTAATTTTCTACCTTGATGTTGGTTTTGATAATATTGTTGGAATGTTGTTATACATGTAGTTAATTCTTGTGGAACAATAAAACTAGAGGTTTGTGAATGTAAAGACCATGAACCTGATGTTAAAACCAAAATTGAAAAATCAACTATAAAGAAGAAAATTGGTGCATTAATATAAAATAATAAAGTAAAAGAAAATTTAAATTTAATAATTACTTTTACCAATAGATAGATTGTTATTATTTAAATAGTTTTTAAACTCTTCATTTGTTTCGGTACTAATTGTTATATCATTAAACATTCTTTGGAATTTGGATGTATATTCGAAACCGCATGCTTGTTTTAAACCAGTAATCATATACTTTTCAATATCGTCTGAAACTGATGATGCATTAATTAAACGTCTTGATAACATCTTTGAATAGAATTTTTGGAAAACATCTTTGTCATCAACATATTTAAATAATACAATCTAAAGAAAAAAATAAATTAGTTATTGTGTGATAAAGTTGTATTTTAAAATAAATGATAATTACAATTTGACCTAATTTTTCTTCTAATTCGACTTCTTCATGTTGCTTGTTTCCTTTTTTTAATAACATATCGCAGTATTTAGCCAATAATTCTGGTGATTTTGTTGTGTTTTTGGTAATATGATTTTGATTAAATATTTTATGGCATGCTAAATCTAAAACTGTAATAAATGATACATCATTATTAAATGATTTTTTAATAATTGAACTAAATTGTAAATATATTTTTAAAAGAGTTTCTACATAAACTTTTGGATCCTAAAATAAACAAATAAAGAGTTAATAAACCATTATTTTATTGAATGTAAAGATAGTAAGTACTTACTGGGTTATTTTTATCTGGAATTGATTTAATTGCCTCAAAACCAACATGTTGGATATAATTTTGAACTGTTTCTAAAACTGGAGCGAGACCACCTTCAATTCTTGATAACAATTTATACATATGGTGAATTTCATCTAGTTTTTCATCTTTCAAATAATTTATACATTCGGATTGTAAGAGTTCTTTATGTTTTTCAATGAGAATAGAATCTAACAATCTTCTTAATTTGTCGTGTGAAGTTGAATTTAAATATTTTTGTGATCTATGATGTTCTTCTTCGATTCTAGCTTCTGCTTTCTTCATATAGCTCGAAACACCACTTGATGATATAAATGCAATAGATTCTCTTGAATAAAATTGTTTTGTATTTTCTAAATAAGAAAATTCGTATTCATTTAAATATAATGCTCTATCTTTATCAACTGAATCTAATTTAACTGAAATAAACATGAAATATTAATAAGATATAAAATATTTTTAAAAATATCTAATGATAAATCTATGCTTACTTAAACTTTCCATAAATTGACTTATAAATTGATGTTGAACTAATTCACCGTCTCTATCTTTTTGAATTAAAATCTCTACACATTTTAATACTCTATCTTTAATCTTAAAAAATAATCTTTCTTTCCAAATCATAAGTCCAAGCTAAAAAATAAAATTTAAAAAATATTAATAAATTATTAAAAACTATTAAAAAAAAAACTATACATACTGTTTGAATTTCGTAAATATCTGGAGGATGACCAAACTTCTTATCCATGATCTTTTTATTAATCCAATTATTATTCTAAAGAAATAAATAAAATTAATATAATGAATAGCTATATATTGTTAATTGAATCTATAAACCTTACCAAATATCTGAAAATAACCTTATTACATAATTCACAACCTGTGTGAAAAAGTTTCCATTGTTTTAAATATTCTGAAATTGTATCTGATTTTGTATCTAAAATGATTAAAAGGATTCTATCCACGTGCTGTTCGAAAAACTTTTTAATATTTTCATATAAAGGCTCACAATATGGTTGAGGTTGAGCAATACATAATTTATAAACATCCCTAAAATAATATTGAAAAATTAATATTGTGTCCAAAGAAAAATATATGAAAAAAAAAAATGAAAATTTATGATAAAAAAAAAAAACAAATATGAATTAATCAACTTACTCATATAAAGACATTGCAGATACAGTATTCATACCTGTTAATAATAAGTAAACTTGTTGTGCTATTGTTTCCCATATTTGATTAAAGTCAATATCTTGTCTACCTAACCCATTCATCATAGACATAATTTGTTTGTATATACAAAATATAATATATATAAGAAATATATATTAATAAATTGATTTAGTTATTGATATTAATAGATATAATGATGTGTGTGTGTATGTGTGACTATGTATTGTTTTAATTTGTAGAAAACAATTAGATGAAGGATTAAATTTTTTATCTTTCTTTATAAATAAAAAAAAAATTGTAGATAAATTATTATTATTTTTATATAAAAAAAAAAATATTAAAAATTTTTAAATTAAAAAATAATAAAAAAAAAAATTAAAAAAAAAATTAAAAAAAAAAATTAAAAAAAATATTATATTAAAAAAAAATAATAAAAATAATAAAAAAAAAAGAAAAAAAAAAAAAAGAAAAAAAAAAAAAAGAGATAATTCACCCAAAAAAGAGATAATTAACCCAAAAAAGATAATTTCCTTTTTAATTTATTTTTTATTTTTTTTGGATTGATGATCAATTATTTTATAAAAAAATTTAATATGATTTTAATTCTATTTTTATTTTTATTTCTATTTTTAAACTTTTATTTTTATTTTTATTTTTATAAAATTGAATTGGCTAATTCGACGTGGAGTGGTTCCATAACAACAGTTGATAATAATTTGTCAATTCTTTCGACAACTTCTTTTGGATAATGTTCATTAACATTTTTAACAGTTTCGTGAATATCACCTTCTTTTTGACTGAGGTAAACCAAGTTGTTTGGTGCAGCAGGTTTATCAGATCTCCAACGTAATAAAAGCATAACTGGGGCGTGTTTTTGAGAGATTGCACTCTTTGATTCGAAAATTTCATCGATTAAATAACGAACATCCAATGGTGAAATGAATTTTCTGAGGAAAGTTGGTGGGGTATTATATAATTTACATTCTTTTTTAATTAAGAGTTTAAGTTGTGATGAGTATTCAGTTAATGGTGGAGGCATACACTTTTCTTCACCATTGGTTACTGTGTCGACACCAGCAAAATCATTTAAAACTTGACAACCAATTGATGTACCAAAGATGAATGGAATTGGCATTGCAACACCCAATGTACGTACACGAAGAGTTGGTCTAACTGCTTGCTCTAATAAAAGTTGACGTTCTTCTTCAGTTAATGGTGTAAGTTTCTTTCTTTGAATTTCTGTAGTGTAGCAACAATTAATACCGCTGTTAATACCGTTGACTTTTAAAAGACGACGAATTTCTCTACCGAATGGACAACCATAAGTGTAACTGATATCAGAGATAAAAATTTTAGTTGGGTCACGGGCAGAGCCTGCACCGAAACTACTGATAACTTTAATATTGTTTCTGTGGCAAAAAGTTAATAACTCTACTTTGGTTTGAGTGTTATCTATACAATCTAAAACGTAATCTGGGTTTCCTGCTAAAAGTTTTTCTGCTAAATCACCTGTGAAAAAAGTTTGAACAGCTTCGACTTCAACTTCTGGGCAAATATCGTAGAAATAGGACTTCATAGTTTCGACTTTTGATCTACCAACATCTTTTCTTTGTGCTAATGCATTTCTATTTAATGAGCTTAATGTTACAAGATCTGGGTCAATAAGACGCATCTTTTTAATACCACTTCTGCAAAGTACGTGGGCTGCTGCACCACCAACACCACCTAAACCAACTACAACCACAAATGAATTTCTAATCTTTTCGTATGCTTCGTCGCCATAGTAAAGTTTGGTTCTATCCATTTGTTCGTTGAAAATCTCTTCTCTTAAAAGATCGTTGTGTAATAAATTTCCTGCACTTAAATTGTTATCTTCTTTTTTAATAAAATCGTCGTCTGTATCCATTCTAATTTGTTTAGTATTGTGTTGTGATGATGGGCTATTTTCAAACTCATCTTGTGATCTTTTATTCTTTTTTAATGATGATGTTAAATATGTTACTGCTGCACCAATACCTGCACCCAATCCTGCAATTAATAATTTATTTTCCATTATTTTTAATTTAAAAAATCAAAATTTTGATTTTTATATTATAATTTAATTATTTTGTGAGTGTGAGTTGTGTTGTGTTTTTATTATTATAATTATTTTAAAAAAGAAATAATAATAATAATAATTATAATTATATTAATAATATAAGATTGGATGGATGTTAATCTTAAATGAATTTAATTAAACTGAATGCTCCAGTCGTTTTTTTTTTAAAATGGTCGTTTTGGAAAAAAAAAAAAAAAAATTAAAAATAAATTAAAAAAAAAAATAAAAAAAAAATAAAATTTATTTAAAATTATTTTTTTTAATATTTTCGCATAATTTATTTTAATTTATTATTTTTGTATATTAATTAACCTCAATAATGGAAAATAATAATAATAATAATAACGAAAACAGTTATAATAACGATATAAGTGAAAGTAAAGTAATACAATTTGGTGAGATCAAAGATGAATATGACCAAGCAAAACTTGCCATAGTTCGTGATTTCCCAATGTGTTTCTATCCAATCTCCAAACTTTTTGACTGTGAACGTGACAACCAAGTTCCTCCCTCCTCTTCAGCAACAAGTAAATTTAAAATATGTCAACATGAAAATGCCCATTTAAATTTTTGTATTTTATCTTCATTCTGTCCATTCGAGGCAACACTTTTAATGAATTGTACCAATGGCCATATACCAGTTGGTGAAACTATCAAAATACCAAAAAAATGTTTAGAAATTGTAAAGTATTTTTATTTTTATATATTATATATTTTTTTCAAATTTACTAACATTTTATATCTAGTTCAATTCATTCGACAATTGTCTTACTAGAAAAACAAAAGAATTTGAAACTAGAGGCTTTCCAGAAACAGAAGAAAGAACAAGGGTGGTTTATGGCGATAATATTACACCAAACAAAAACAAAAATAGCAATGATGGTACAACTCAATAATTTCATAATAGAATTTTATTTTTTGGCCAAACGAAACAATACACTTCAATTTAACCATTTTTATATTGACTATTAATAGAAAATATAATAATAAAATTTTTATTTATTTTTAAAAAAAAAAAAAAATTTTAAATTACTGTAGCATTTCAGCGGGGTAGCATTAAAATGTTTAAAGAAAAAGCAAGATGCAGGTTTTATATTTATTTAAATATTTTTAAAATTTACAGTATTGTTTGTTTGTTTGTTTTTTCTTTTTTTTTTAAAAAAAAAAAAAAGTGAATTCGCATTGTTTAAATTTATATAATGTATATTTTTGAAAAAAGGGAGTGATTGTGATTGTGGTGTATTTGCTGTTTTTTTGTTTTTTTTTTCTGTTTATAATTGAGTGATTATTTATGAACCCATTTTTCGGAACAAGCACAACATACATAAAATAGAGTCATACCATTTTCGACAGTCATAGATTGGAAGAAAGCTGCCTCTCTACCACCACATTGAGGACATTTGGCGGCTCTGGTACGAGGTAATGTTGGATCTGCAGCAATATCTTGTGAAATATGTGTTTTTTCCCTATAATAATAATAATAATAATAATAACAATATTAGATATACTGCTTTTGCTTGTTTGTGCTTGCTGTTTTGATAAATGTATGTGTAGATGGATATAATTTGATTTAAAATACTAACATTACTGAATGTTTAATTTCATTTCTGTATACACAATTATTTGTAGCCTCTTCTTTATGATCGCAAATTCTACAAGCTAAAAGTAATGTTCTGTTAGCTCTATCAGCTTTAGGATATAACATATTATTACTATATATGTAATGTATAAAATATTATAATATTTATTTCAAAATAGATTTATTTTGGTTAATATCATAACACACTAATACTGTATAATAATGATCCACAATGAAAATAAACATATCGAAATAATTTATTTACCATTCGCTACAAAAATTCATTTTATTTTAATTATAATTCTATTTATATATATTTAGTTGAAATAAAAAAAAGAAAATTTTATAATAATTAACAATGGAAGATGACCAAAATAATTCCAATCGATAATTTAGTTATTTTTATATAATATATACACAAATTACAATAAAATTAAAATAAAACTAATTTTAAAATTTTTTTTATTAAATTTTAAAAAAAAATGAAAAAAATGAAAAAAAAAAAAATTAAAAAAATTAAAAAAATTAAAAAAAAAAAAAACTTTTTTTTATTTTTTTTTTAAAATTAAAATGAATGATGATGTAAATGCAGATATAACTAATAATAACAATAATAATAGTAATAATAATAATGATAAGGACGATAGCGTTACACCCCCAAAACCTTCAGACAAACCTGCAAAAAAAAGGTTTGGTATTCCGCAGATTAATCTGCTTAACAAAGGTGCAAACACAATTCAATCAGTAAATGCAGTTCTTAAAAATGTAGACGATACACCACCTATACTAGCGCCTCAAATCCAGCCCCAAACCACCAGCTCCACCACTGTAAATAGCTATTCCTCTTCTTTCAAAAAAGGTTCAGAGAATTTTAATAATGACCATCACATAGATCATGATAATACTAGTGTTACATTAAAATCCTCTTCAATCTCATACTTTATTAGATCCTCATCATCTTCAACTACAAATGTAAATAACTCACAATCACCACTTTCAAAATCTCCACCACCATCACTTAAACCATTAATTCCAATCAAGCCATCATCACCAATGAAACCATCAGCGCCAATCAAGCCATCAGCACCAATCAAACCATTGGCACCCACATTAAAACCATCACTACCCCAAAGACCAAACACAAGTACGACAACGACAACAACCTCATCACCAAACTATAATAATAAAATGATTTTTGTAAATGAATTTCAAAGAGGAAATCCATTAATTAGAAATTTTTCAAATAATATAGTTGTAGAGTATCAAAAAAACCAAATCCCAGATTATGTCATCACATCAAATAGTTGTGTATTTTTTTTATCTCTTAAAGTTTATCGATTAAAACCAAACTATGTAGAAGATCGTATTAAAGGCACACCCCAATCATTTGAATTAAGAGTATTATTGGTTTTGGTTGATGTTGATGATTGTGTGGCTCTATTAGAAGAACTTAACATTTCAGCAATTAAATCAAATTTAACTCTAATTGTTTGTTGGAGTTTTCTCGAAGCAGGAAAATATATAGAGTCTTATAAAAGCTTTTCATCATCAGCCAAATCAGTCGACTTTATAAAGACACGTCCTCAACCAGTAGAGCTAGGTGGTAAGACAAAAAAAGAACAAGTTCTAACATCAATCAAATCAGTAAATAAAACCGATGCAAATACATTAATTAATAATTTTAAAAATATGAAAGCTGTTTTTACATGCTCAAAAGAAACTTTATTAAAATGCCCAGGCTTTGGTCCAGTTAAAGCTCAAAATTTTTATAATACAATTCATCAACCTTTTAAAGCTAAAAAAAATACTATACCAAATTTAGATTATAATAGCACAAATTTAAATAATAGTACTAATAACAATAACAATAATATAAATGATATCGATAAAAATAATAGTAATAATCAATCATATTCAAATACAAGATTAAATTTAGAAATATTAAAAGAAACAAGTAAAAGTAAGGAAGGAGATTTTATTGACGAACTTTCTTTTGACTTTGGAAGCGAAGATGAAGAAGATTTCTTTGAACCAGATAATAATAATAATAATAATAATAATAATAATAATAATAATAATAATAATAATAATAATAATAATAATAATAATAATAATAATAATAATAATAACAGTAATAGTAATAATGATGATCTTAATTGATTAATCATAAAATAAATATTCATGTTAATAATATAATCGATCCAACACCAAGAAAGAAATACCCCACAATTTTTTTTTAAATAAATAAAAATTTTTATGGTTATAATAAATAATATAATTTTATCATAAAAATAATATTAAAATATAGATATTATAATTTTCATTGTTAATCAAATTTTAAGATAAGACCATCAATAAAAAAAATTTTGAATTAATTATAATAATTAATGGTCGGTTTTATTTAGATTTCAAAAAAAATAATTATTTGAATTTTTTTATTTTAAAATTTTTTTAATAAATATTTTTTTTTTTTTATATTTTTTTTAGAGTTTGATATTGGAAAAAATCAAAATTATTTTTTTTTTTTTATTTTTAAATTTTTTTATTTTGTAGTTTTTAATATTTTATATATATAAAAAATGATTATTTTGGTTAAAACTTCAACAGTAACCTTTTCATTGGATGTTAATCCAGCTGATAAGGTCACTGTATTAATAGGAAAAGTATGCGAAAGAACATCAATGAGCGATTTCCAATTCAATTTGGTATTTGCTGGTGAACCAATGGATCCAAATGCTACAATTCAATCACATGGTATTAAAAAAGAAGGTACAATCCATATGCAAACTATTAAAGAATTAACTTTTGATGTCGAATATAATACTGTTGTTTTAAAAGTTACAATTCCAAATAAAAAAGATTTAAAAGTTTTAGAATTAAAAAGGTATAGTATAAATTTAATAAAAAAATGATTAAATCAAAATTTAAATATTTTTAAAGAAAAAAAATTAATTTTTTTTTAATTTTATATTATTATAGCCATATTTGTTCAGTATTATCAAAAAATGAACCAGATATTTATAAATTACCATTAGTATTATCACAAAGTGGTAAAACTTTATTAGATAGTGATTTAGTTCAAAATACTGTAAAGAGAATGGAAACATTAATTTTAGAAAAAAAAGGATCAAGTACTGGCACAATAGATGAATCAACACCAGAAAATCAAAATTTAATTCCAATCATTGACAAAGAAGATATTTTATCACATTTTGTTGGCAATTCTATTTCAAACGATGTAGAGATTGTTTTTTGTTTTGATACTACCACCAGTATGAATGCTGTTATCGTCGAAGTAAGAAAGAAACTCTTAGAGACCATCACCCATTTGATGAAAGAAATTCCATTGATCCGTATTGGTATTATGGCTATGGGTGATTTTTGTGAAGAAAAACCACTCTATACTTTGGATCTTACCACTGATGTAAATAAGATTGTCTCTTTTATTAATGGAGTTAAATCAACTAATGGTGGTGATGAGCCAGAATGCTACGAATATGCTCTTCATAAAGCCAAGTTCTTATCATGGTCATCTCATACAAGTAAAGCTTTTGTTATGATTGGTGATAGTCCACCACATCCACCATACTACACCAATCACCACATCAATTGGGTCAGAGAATGTGACGATCTCGAAGCTTTAGGTATTAAAATTTATGGAATTGTAGCCATCCACGAAAAGTATCGTTATTTCTATCAAACTATAAGTGAAAGAACCAACGGTTTATGTATTTTATTCTCACGTTTCGAATTAATTACAGAAATGTTTTTAGCCATTTGTTTCAGAGAAGCTTCATCAGCAAAATATGAACAATATAAAAAAGAAGCCAAAGAAAGAGGTGGTGATAAAGATTTAGATGCTATTTTCAATGATTTAGATAAACCAAATTTCGATGTTGTTGAAGCAAACCCAGACGATATTGCCACACCAAATACTACAACTGACGAAGCATCATCATCTGTAACCAACACTACTGATGAAAATACCACTACTACCACCACTGAAGCACCAAAAAAACCAACAGCAGCTCCAGTTAAAATGCCAAAACATTATGGTGTATTAAATGCTAATTATGATAAAAATGAAGCATGGTGCAATTTCTTGGACGATGATTTACCAATGAATGAGTCATTCACAAAACCAATGTTTGGTAGTCGTTATAAACCAAATGGTAAAAAATCATCATACAAAGTTCCAACACTAGGTTTAGTAATTGGTGAACGTCATATTGGTTTCAAATCATTCCTCAAAACTTTAATTCTTAAAACCCTCAAAGAAGAAACCAAACTTTACTTTAACGATTACCGTTTAGATACACTCCACAGTATTCCATTCAACTCATTATTTATTGCAACTTTTAATGTTGCCGATTCAAACTCGTTCAACCAAGTTCAAACTAAAATAGAACAAGTTCAAAAACAATTTGCAACTACTCCAATTTATTTATTAGGTCTCCAATCAGATAAAAGAGATTCAAATACAAACACAGTTTCAGCAGCATCTGATGACAAATCATCATCAACTCCAGATGAATCATCCAAATCAGCTCCTTCAACAATTAGTTTGGTTGAAAAATCAGAAATTGATAATTTATTAAGAAACAAAAATTTATTAGGTTATTCAGAATGTACTATAAACAACCCATCTTCAATCACAAGTTTAGAAAAGAAAATTTTAAAACTTTATGAATCAACAAAACAATAAAAAATACAAAAAAAATAAAAAATAAAAAAATAAAATTATAAATATAAAATATAAAATTTAAAGGTATTTTATATAAAATATCAAAAACTACTATAGTAGTAGTTAATTTATTTTCTCAAGTAATATTCTTCTATTAATTTTAAAACTTCTTGATACTCTTGGTTGTGTAATTTATTTTCTCTTGATATTATTTCGTCTAGTTTTGTATATTTGGATGGTTCGGGTATTTCTTCTTTTATTTTTTTTATTATATCTACGAGTTCTGGTGAAAACTGAGATGTTGGTCTTAATTTATACTTTTGAAGGATTTCAGCTTTTTCGATTGGTGTGAGTAATTGTATAATTTCTAAAACTGTTGATAGATGATTCTCTAAAATAATTAATTCGTTTTCCTTTAAAAACTCTTTAAATAGATCTCTTGCATTTTTTCTTTTTTGTTTACCTAATTCTAATGCTGCTACATTGATGAAATATGGGAGCTGTGATCTTAGTTTAAATAAAACCACCTTCCACATTGTAAAATTTTCAACTAAAACCTTTGGTTTGATATCTCCTTCTATTGGGTATGCTATTTTGGCCAGTTGAACATATAGTTTTATAATTTCTTTTGAATGAATGAATAGATTTTGTTTTTTTAACTTTTGTAAACCTCTTAATACACTGCTTCTTGTTTGATTATTGTCTTTATATTGTGTGAAATCATTGGTTGGGAAAAACTTGAGCTTTGTTTTTAATATAGTTTTATAAAATTCACCTTCGAGTTCTAAATCATGAAGTATTTGGATTCTTTCAGGTGACAGTGGTGTTGAGCTTTTAAAAACTGAAAAAATGAACTTTGAAATTGATTTATTGTAAAGTTCTATATTATTTTCGACCATATGTTCCACCAATCTCCATGTAGTCTCATAATTGATTTGAGAGTCATTTGAAGATAACTTGTATAACCAATAATTATAAAAAACATGCGACCTGTAATTGTGCGGGAATGCATTTAACAGTATTTGAAAATCGTACACTTTCTGTTCCAATTTTAGATCTGTCCATTGCTTCAAGTCAATATTTCTAAGTATTTCAATTCTTTCAACATCTTTTAATTTTTGTGTTGTATTTTTCTTTATAGTTTCTTTTATGTTTAATTTGAATTCTCTTTCTTTTATAAAATTTTTGATTGTCTTTGTATTGTTTCTTAATTGAGTGTTTGGAATTCTTTTAGGTGTCTTTAATAGTATGCTGCAAAACCTAAACATTTCTGAATAAAATAATTATTTAAATAATAACGAAAAAATAAAAAAAAATTAAAATTAAAAAAAATTTTAAAATTATTTTTTATTTTTTTGATTATTTGAATTTTTTTAATTATTTATAAAATATTACTATTTACAAAAAAAATAATTATAACAATCTTATTTATCTCAAATTAATCATTTTTGTGGAAAATCCCCTAAATCTTTATTAAAAAAAAAATTAATTAATAATTTTTGTTTTTTTTTCTTGTTTTTATGAACACCAACAAAAAAACCCTTTCACAATTTGGTTTTTTTTTTTTTTTTAAAAATTTTTTTACTTGAAAATCAATCAAAACATAAAATACTATCTGAAATTTCATTAAAAATAAAAATCTCTTATATAACCAGGCCGAAAATTAATAATAATAAAATTAAACAAAAAAATAATAATAACTTTTTTCTAAAAAAAAAAAAAAAAAAATATAAATTTTGAAATTAATACAATAAAAACGCAGTTTTGTAAAAATTAATAATATTCTCATAGCAAAAATTAATTGTGTAAGTATTAAAAAATAAAAAATTATTTGTTTAAAAAATAAAAAATTTTAGTTTTTATAAATTTCCATTTAAGGAATTCTTAATTTTTTTAATTTTTATTTTTAAAAATAGAAGATTTATTTTTTTTTAAACATTAATTTTCTTACTTATTATTTTTTATTATATTAGTTTATTTATTTATTTTTTTCTATTTCAAAATACAGATAATTTAAAATCAATTTAAAATCAATAAAAAAAAATGCAAAAGCTTTATCAAGTATCTGTTGGATCCTTATTCCCAAATGATAGTTTCGAAATTTTTACAGTTCATTCAGATTACCCAGTCAAAGATGCTTTCGAAGTAATTATACCCTATATTTTTTAATTTTAAAACTAATTTTTACTAATTTTTATATCAACCTTCTCCAGTTAATGATAAAAAAAAAAGTTTTATCATTACCAGTTTATGATGTTCAATCTAGAAGATTTGATAAATTTATAGATATGGTAGATATTGTTACTTTTTGTGTTAACCATTTATCACAAAAAGAGTTATCTGAATTAGATATAAATTTTGTTTTTGAATCTAAAGAAATTTTCCAAAAATTTAAAATTGGTGATATTTGTGGTATGTTTTAATTTTTATTTTTATTTTTTTTTATATTTAAAACCTTTATTAATTTTATTATTATCCATACAGATTTATCAGGTAGAAATGCATATTGCCCAGTTGAATCAAGTGCTCCATTAAAGATTGCAATCGATTTAATGTCAAAATGGAATGTTCATAGGGTTCCAATTATCGATTCAGATGGAGGTTTAATTTCAATTTTAACACAATCAAGAATTGTCGAATATTTGCAAAATCATATTGACGGACTTGGTAATATTGAAAAAGCAATTGGCACCCTCGAAGATTTTGGATCTAAAAGTGTTGTAACCATCAGAAATGATAGATTAGTCATTGATGCCTTCAAGTTAATGCATGAAAATGGCGTTAGTGCTTTACCAGTCGTAAATCAAATTGGTATTTTAGTTGGTAATATAAGTGTATCAGATATGAAATTAGTAGGTTATGATGGAAGAATGTTTAGCAGAATGTTTTTACCAATCGAAAGCTTTTTAGAATTGAGACCAAAGAATCCAAATATTTCAATTGTAAATATTAAACTATTTTATTTATTTTTTTATTTATTTATTTACACTTTTACTAATTTTATTATTATAGTTTGGTAACCAAGTTCTATGTGTTAATGATTCCACAACTATTGAAGAGGTTATTACAAAGTTCTTCATGTCTAAAGTCCATAGACTCTACAAGGTAGATTCAGAGGGTAGACCATCTGCTGTCATCTCACAAGGGGATCTTATAAAATACTTTGCTGATTAATTTAAAAAATAAACATTTATATACATATATTTCTTTTAAAAAAAAAATTATACTTATAAAATCTAAATTGTTTTTTAATTATATAAAATGTATTTATTTATGTTTATGTTTTATTTGGTTTTATCTGAATTTGGTTGTTGTTGTTGCTGCTTAAAAGCAAGCTCTCTTCTTTGTTCATCACCAATTTGTTTAAGTCTATAATTGTAAAATATTGTATTAATATAATTTAATCATTTTTTAATTAAAAAATGTTTATAATAAAATATAAAATTTAATGTTGATAGTTACCCTGGAGCAAATATATAATAACCTGAAACACCTCCTATAATAATGGCTGATAAAATTGGAACCAAATCTTTTCTAGTGATAAGCATTTTTTATGTGAGCTGTTTACGTTTCTATATATATATGTATGTAAAAAGTGTTGATTGATTGATATGTTGAATAATTTTTAATTTAAAATTAAAACTTATGATAGATGGGGTTATTTTTATTTTTATTTTATTTTATTATTAGCCTATTGTTTGAGGGAAAAAGAACAACACACCCCCAATTAAAAGAAATTTTTTAAAGGTTATAATAATTGAGAAATGAAAAAATTTCACATTTACAATTTCATTTTTAAAAATTAAAAAAAAAAAAACAAAAAAATTTTTGAAAAAATGAAAAAAAAAAAAAAAAAAATAAATAAAAGTGTTAATGTTTACTTTATAATATAATTATATGAACATAATCTATTTTTAAATCACACACAGCACACATAAGAGAGTTAATGAATAATTTATTAGTGAGTGAGAGAGAGTGTGTGTGTGTGGCTTAAGTGTGGGAGTGGTGTTTTTTGTGTGTGTTTTTTTTTTTTATATTAAATTTTTATAAATTTTTTTTATAATTTTTTTTTTTTAAATTTAATTTAATTTAAATTTTATTTTGAAATCATTAAATTATTTTTTATATAAAGGAAATAATAATAATTCTTTATTTATCTATTTATTTATCTATTTATTATTTATAAAATATAGCGTATATACACTCTTTAAAAATATTTAATCACTATCATCAGAAATTAGAAAAAAGAAATTAGAAATTAGTATATTTTAAAAACTATACTATATTATACTTTTAGAAATTACATTTTTTTATAGCGAATTTTTTAGAAAAAATAATTTAGTGATTGTTTTTTTTTTTTAGTTTATAATAAATAAATAAATCTGCTCAACTATCAACAATAAAATAAAATTGGTTTGTCTAATATACAGAGTTTTAATTGAGAGGTAAAACAAATAGCAAGTTAAAATAAAAATAAATAAAGGTAATAAAAGATAGATAATGCAATAATTTTTTTTTTTTATAATAATTGTGGAGTTTTTAGAGATGTATTATTAATTTAATTATTTTAAGAGTTTAAATTCGACAAAATATTTATTTTAATTTTATTTTTTTATAATTTATTTTTTCCAATTTC